ACAGACAGTGCAATCTGATGATGCCAGTTTTTATATAACTCCCCAATGTTTGCATTTGAGTGCAGGTTAAACTCCCAATCCACTTTTCCGACCACACACAGAGTTAAATATCTTATTAGCCTCTACCTGAGGGGGCAGCAACCATCACATCAATCTTGAACTTCTTGATGATGAACTTTAGTCACAGAGACTCACACAATGTTGAAATTAGGGATTTTTTCATGGCATTACTTGACTTGTTGAGGTTAATTTTTTTTAACTTGGATCTTTGAACAATTTAAAAATCCCCATGATGACACGGAACTAAGTTTTGTTTCTATGTTCAGCTTCCTTTAATATCTAGTGGCAATTAAGAGGCATTGCAAAAACTCCTTTACACTTTGAAACTTTGCAAAAACATTACAGGATTAAATTAACAGGACATTGTAGTTTTACACTGTACACTACAGAGTTAGTCATTTGTGTTATACTACTACTCCTTCAAAAGGAGTACCCTATGGAATACATATTCCATAGGCTACTCCTTTTGAAATATTTTATCATGTCATTTACATTTATTGATATACATCTATTTTTGTTGTTAATCAAAATCCACAATTAAAGCTGTAATCACTAGCCTGGATTCAATTGTTTTAGTTTCTAACTTCCAATTAGAAAACACCAGTCCACATTCAGTAAATGCTGAGCTGGTGCTGTAGCATTTGTTAATTCTGATGCACCTTCTCATGATCAACACAAAGCAGAAAAATCTACTATGAATGCTACCTCCCTAGTACACTGAATAAGAAGGATTAATTCCTTTAAGTATTAAATCTTTAATGGCACTCAAAAAAAATCAATCTGACCTCACTAGACTATGTATAGGTTTCGCAGAAAGCCATAATGTTTCTCACACCTGCTAGACTTATCACAGTCTAAAAAAAAATCTCAATTACAATAATTGAATTTTACTTATAGGGAAAATCAAGATACTACTGTATAATTTAAAGTATACTGTACTGGCAGAACTACTGTTTTGTATGAGGAGTGCTCTAACTTATTTACTGTAACCATCCTAATTCAGCTCACTGTGGTTTCTATACACTGCAAAACAAGAAACGTATCACTACTTGGATTTTATCATTTACATTTTAGATATTGATTAACATATATTGAGCAACAGATATATTAACAGATATTGAGCAACAAAATGAATCTTTGTTTACTGACTACATTCCACCCCTGCCTTTCACAGTTGCATAAGAACTTAATTATTTAATTAGAGCGAGTGCTGAAATGATTTAACCTGCTGACTTTCATGCCCACAAGAAAAACGCAGAAAGGAACTAATATACCAGATTATCAGAAGAACACCGTCTTCACACCAATGGTATACAGGAGCAACACATTAGGTAGACTCACCGGCACTGGAGTCAAGTCATCCTCTAGTTACGAATAAAAACTTTATGTAGATCACCTAGATGAACATTAGCCATTGCCGTGCAGATGGGCAGAATTAAAAAAAACTAAGTGTCTAAAGGCTACAGAAGATAAGATCACTTTATTAGCAATAGACAATTTCTTGCATTAGGAATTTGTCTTTTCACATACCCCAGCTTACTCTCCACGAGACACACAGGCACACAGACAGGGAGAGAATCTTGGGGTCAGAGCACAGGGTCAGCCATTTATACAGCACCCCTGGAGCAGTTCAGGTTAAGGGCCTTGCTCAAGAGCCCAATGGAGTAGGATTCCCCTGCCGCCCGCAGGATTTGAACCAGCAACCTTCCAGCCACAGGCGGAGATGCCAAACAAGTACAGTATACGGGATGAACCCACTAAATGATCAGTATGCGAGATGAGCTGGGACAACATGTAGCATCCAAGGCTTAGAAACCAGTGAACAGACACACACTTGTCCAGACTACAAAAAGTGAATGGGGCAGAAACCCACAAGAGACTGTCTGCAGAAGGTGCAGAGTACGTTGTACGTATGTTGTAGCTTGTGTTGCTTCCAAAAGAGACCAGTCAAGCTAGTAGTGAGTGACTTTCACAGTAGACACTCTGTTGATGACCCGTTAATGAAAAATATTAATGTATTTACCTGTAATAGCTGTTCACTTAAATGTCTGTGTACCTGCTATAAAAAATTAGTGTTATTTTAGTCATATCTTTGGTAATTGGTCGGAGTTAGTTTGGTAATTTGTTTGATGATCATTTACCATATATTTACACAAAGCCCAACACGAAGGCACATCATGAACCAAAACAGCACAGCATCTTGCAAAATGTACAACATTCAATTTAATTTGAGTGCATAAAACATCTGATTAAGTGTTTAAAGTTTTCCTTATGCCAAAGAGACCACCTACAAACTTTAAGCTACAAGTTTGGGTCTTAGTCACAGGATGCTTCTTCATATGCTGCTGCCCTGAAAGTCAACTAAAAAATAAGTAGTTATGAAGTAGTTTCAGGTTTACTTGACAAACTTACAGCTTTGCTGTTTCAAAGTTTTTCTGAGAGTACAGAACAAATCTGGATTTAAGTCAACTACATGGCTGACTCAATTTGTACAAAAGACTGTCGTACTTAAATGATTTAATACTGACATGGTTCACAGCCAGGAATTTTAGGCGACATTAACAGATGCTGTCTTTTAAATAAAACGAAAATTACTTCAATGCAAAATTTTTTTAAAAAGTCATGAGCAAAGTGATTTAATGGAACTGAATAAGTAGAAATTATCATAAAATAAAAGACTTAAATTCTAACATTCAAACTGCAGAATTTTCATCAGCTGCTGGTCTGAGGTTTCACTGGCTCAATTAAAAGACATTGGTACAGTTTTAAAAATTAGTATTACAGTTCTTAGGACAGATGGCTGTGCAATGATGGAGAAGTTGGGACAAACTGTGCAATTAAACTAAGGCTATTGTCCCAGATATAAACAAGATATAAACAGTGACCAATGAAGAGGAGGCCATTTTGGAATCCAAACAGCAAAAGCATTAACCATCTGCAGTATATCCTTTCTTTTCAAAAAAGTAAATCAAGTTACTTACTATTTTCAACCACTGACAATTTATGCTGAATAATGCAAACAAATTAAAGATCCTGACAGCTGACACTTATTCACAACTGTGAAACTCACTGGAGTTGTCTAATGGAAATGTTTTAAAAGCTTATTACAGATGCCAGATTACCATGCTTACATCGAAATAAATTCCTATAGATTGTTAAACCACAGGGACCTAATTAACAAGAAAAAAGTGCAAGATGCCCGCACTGTTCAAAGATGCTGATTGTGCTTACTTATGGAAGCATTAAGCAAAAGAGACTTGATACTTTCACTCGCACATGCTAAATGAAATCCATTCTCGTTTTCGGAAGGAGAATCATTAGTGACTCTAAAACAATATTAAAAGTTACAACGTCAGTAAAAATGTTACGTGATTTGAAAACCTTTAGAGTAATGGAAGCGTATCTAGCACTTCTACAACATGCACCACCCATTCTCTTATTTTGTTGCGATAATGAAAAGAACTCGTGTATTTAATGTTATCTGAATTTTGAAAATGTTACTTCCGTTACGTGTGATTATGCAAAAATCGTACTCTCAAATCTTCTTCTGTTAAGTAACCCCATAACATACATGTTAAATCGCTCTAGTTAACACTACCACATCAATACAGTGACAGAATCACAAGACGTAAATAATCATAGATTTCAGGAATGAGACTCGATTATTTAAAGGTTAATTTTTACAAGACTTATGTTTCTAAACTATATTAAAGGGAGAACATGTGGTATATCACATTTTCAAATTATTTAGAATGATGGTCGATGTTAATTCACTTTTTCAGTTGAAAATTGATTTATACTGCAATCCGAAATGTAGGTTTTGAACCCGCCCGGTGAATCGATTTGTTTTTGCGCGTGTGGCACACTTAGCCGAAGACTCCGTTTCTCCTGCTCACTAAGCTAAACCAGTGCAAACTGGTTTAAAACTTGTGGAGTTGGACAGTAGTCTGAACAGATAATACACATCACATCTACATCTAGGGGTGAATTTGACTCTGTAGCAGCGAGTACAACAATTTCATTTTAATGAAACCTCAGCGAAATCAATTCTCAACCTTGTCAGTTGCCTATGGAGTCCTGACTGGCCTGAAGCGAGTCAGAAACACAGGCCTCTGAGCCGAGTAGCCTACACCTTTACCTCGCGTCTCCAACTCACATTTCGCCCTTTGTTCAGCTCAGAAGTAACACGATAACTGTACTCTAAACAGCGTGTTGCAGGCAAAACATATCTAAAGCCCAGCTAACCATCAGGTAGGAAGAGCTGGAACAGAACCAAACGTCCTGCTGGCCGTGCTATTTACATTTTGTTTACAGAGCAGACCTTTCCGCTAATCCCAGCCCAAACTCGTGAGGGACATTAACGATTGGCGTTGAGAAGCAGCACAACAAACTGGCGATTGCCCCAAATGTGGCGACTGTCCAAGACAACAACATTACCCTGGTAATACAGTTCCGTGCTTTTTCTGGGTTCACTGAAACACGATTGAGCTGTTAACAATATTTCCGATATGCGCAGTGATGCTCCCTAGTTTGCTAAGCGAACATCTTAAAAATAAAATACTTTTCCGTGTTAACGTGCATACCCAAGAAACTAGGCTTGAGCACTGACATTTTAAAATCGTTGGGGTTTGTATTCGACTTTACGTATGAGCAGCGATGGTTAAGGTTATTTAAACTTTGACTAATGGCAAGCCACATGTAAACTAAAATGACCCTTCAACTCTCGAGGCCTAAACTTTTGTCTGAACCAACTTAAAGGGAATTTCTAGGGGAAGATCAGAGTCAGATACCCACAGGCCACTTCGGAGCAATCCTAAATACATTACGAAAGTCATTTCAACTGTAAACACCGTCGCTTCTTAACAGCGAAATATCAAAAGGCAGTACGAAGTTCTCCTTCCAGTTTCATAACGCCACATATTTTCTATTCTTCCACTTACCGCTTAGAAAAGGCAGACGATTCAGGTACAAAACGCTATCTCCGGTTGTGCAAAAGCCAACATGGAGTCCCCCCTCGTCCTCTGTCAGTGTATTTCCGGGAATCCTGTCCCCTACACTGCGGGAAAAGATACGAAATCCCGCCGATTTGAATGCACGGAAAGCTCGCTGTAGGTTTGTAGGCTCCTCGGCCACATGTCGGTCACAGATTCTCCGTGCGTAAAGAAGTCCGCTGGGTGTCGCTGTGCAGCCGTCTCTTTAATTTTATGAAAAATTGACGCACAGAAAGGGAGGAGTGGTCGAATACGGTTTCGTCAGAAAGAGAAGGAAATGGGAAGTGGAGTCCATTTTCTGAGCCAAGGCCTGGGCTCCAGAATAAAATCACAGCGACGACTGCTGGACCAACATTGCGTTACACTTAAACCAATGCACCTAGAAAATGTTTTAATCAAATTATGGAAAAGCAACTGAAGCGATACATGGATTTCTGTTAAACTACTTACAAACAATGTTTATTTTCATATTTTAACAATTGATGTGTAGACAGCTTCGCAACTGTTTTATGTTAAATGACGTACTTGTGCAGTGGCATTCTTTTAAAAAATATATTACAAATACTTTTCACGGAGTATCCTCATTTGTGTTTTACAGTTTTAATTCCACTTGAACATTTGAAGTTTAGCGTATGAAGCACTTGTATGTGCGCATTTAAAAATGCGATTCTGTTCTGAAATAGAAGAACAAAGTTACGAATAAGCTTAAAACCTGTACGAGATGTTGGGGTTTAGTTCTCAAATTACGGATATGTTTTCAAATACTTGGTTGAATTTAATCCTCAAGACCATGTAGCTCTAAGAACCCTTTGTGAATGTTTCATAGCGGCCTCCCCACCTGTGTCTGCACATCACGATAAACAATACTACATGATAAACAGCTGCTAAACAATAACAATAATGCTAAACAATTCTAACAATGTTTAGAAAGTTATAAGATTACTTCTGAGACTAAATCCTGAGTGAAGAAACAGTTAAAAATTAAATAATTTGTTCAATTAATGGTTAACTTATTTAATTAAAAGTTCATTTGGAAAGAAAACTGCAAGGCTGCTTTAGGGCCAAGATTAGGATACACTCGTTTGGAACAACCCTGGTTCTAAGACCTACCGGGGTGTAGCTCTCCAGAACAAAGCTTGGCCATGCATAGTACAGAAGATGAGTTTAAAACCTTTATTTTTTTCTCTTTTATCAATGATGATCAAACTCTCCCAACAGATGCCAATGTCGAAGAATATCACAGTTGCTCAACATTCACCCTAACTCCCAAGACTGTAGAAAAACTAAGCAGTTGTTTCACAAACCCTGAGTAGCACTAGTCCTGGACTACCTCATGTTAATGTAGATTAGCAAATCTCTGATGTGTGCTAAATGCAAGTGAGGTTATTCATGGTCTGGATCTGACATGAAATTTGGTTCTATCAAATTGTTTTATCTCATCTCTCAATCAGAGACAGACAGGGAACATAAAAACAACAACCAAGGAAGGAGTTCATCACATCTCTTTTCCCACTCAATCTCTTCCTTTTTAATTCAAGCCATCCAGTACAGTATGTGCCCTTCTTAACAGTCAATTGCTTAAAAACAGTTTCATTTTGAAACTGCACATTCCAAGACAAATCTACAAACAAAGGAACATGTTACTAATTGTGGCAACAGCATAGATGATTATAGGATCTGCTTATTATTAATTGAACTGTGTGTCATAATATCATAACTTTATCTTCATCAAGCATTTCAAATTCACTAGCACAATTTAAACCATCTCCTTGGCACAGAGTCAGGTATCAGCAATATTTCTACAGTAAACCTTGATTGAATATAGAAAATTCTGTGACAAAGGTTACCTCTATTCACTGGCTAAAGTGATGCTGATGAGTAAGGATTTGACCATGATGAGACCAACAGTTCCAGAAAATATTGTCTGCTATATGTTATCGGAATTAGCCCTTTTCTAATCCCGATTACATCTGCTCTCAGGGCCAGTTAAGGTAAAGGACGTCTGTTTTATTCATTTCATAGCCTATCATTGGTATATACATATATTTATTCAAGAAGAGATCTTTGTTGTGGTTTTTATCACACAAATAAAACAAATCATAGTCAATATTTTTTTTCATATGCACTTTAGTTTCCATAGGCCCTTGGCACAGTGCCTACTATGCCAATTGGATATTATGGTCCTGTCTGCTGTAGGGAAATCAAGCTCTGAAGCTTGTTGTTGAAATGTTCCAGTTCTCTCTTGATGTTGAATCACTAATAACACCAGCTATATTCTAACATAAAAGAATTGGTTGCTAAATGGACACTAAGATGTGAATCAGTTTCTGTGAAATTCCAGATTTCCCCATTCCAGTATTCTACAATTGCTGGCTATGACATCTTGTAAATAAGTAACAGAACTCATTAATGTGTTGTTTTTGCACGACTGGGATATACTACTACTACTACTACTACTACTACTACTACTACTACTACTACTACTACTAAAAATAATTGCTTACACTTATATAGCGCTTTTTTGGACACTCCAATCAAAGCGCTTTACAGGTAATGGGGATTCCCCTCCACCACCACCAATGTGCAGCCCTCACCTGGATGATGCGACGGCAGCCATAGTGCACCAGAACGCTCACCACACATCAGCTATTAGTGGGGAGAAGAGCAGAGTAATGAAGCCAATTCATAGAGGGGGATTATTAGGAGACCATTATTGGTAAGAACCAATGGGAAATTTGGCCAGGACCCCGGGGTTACACCCTTACTCTTTTCGAGAAATGCCCTGGGATTTTTAATGACCACAGAGAGTCAGGACCTCGGTTTTACGTCTCATCCGAAGGACAGGCTCAATGCATTTCCTTGCATTTCCAATGCATTTCCTTGCAATGCAAATTTCCTTCTCAATGCATATGCTCAACACCCTTGTGCCAAGAGATAAACCATAGAATGTTTACACTTGTGTTTGTTGCATTTTTGTTACCAATTTGCAAATTTTATACAGTCACTTTCTCAGTGAGTCTGTGGAGAAAACAGACAAACAGATTCCTTGCAGACAGTGACCTGAAACAAAGTAATTCAGTCACTTAGTTCTTTTCACATGTGGTTTTGAAATAGAAATTGCTGCCTTGTTTTTTGACTGGGGGACAAGAACATCATGTAACACTGGCCAAGTGATACAAACTGATATTCAGTAAATCACATACCTACAGTACTTGTGGAGATTCATTCAAACAGCCTCTGACTGGTTTCCACTGCACCATGGCACATCCTGGTTGAATTTGCTGTATATTGCTGTCTATTTAAACAAAAACAGTATCCTGTATATAGAACATCAAATACAGTTAACGTATCATAAAGCTCTATGGACACTTTATGTTGCAACAAGTTTGTCAAGAAGCCTTCTGGGCTATATAGTCTGTTTTGATATCCGCCTCGATTGGCTGTATTTTTTCGAATGTGTGACAGGGATTTGTTTAATGAAAACCATTTTTCATGAATTGCTAGTACTGAATGGATAAAAATGTAATTAAAAGAGGATCACATAGGATATCTCCTCAATGTGAATTTTGATTGGATTTGAAAGCGTCTAGACCTAATTTCTTTCTGAGATCTGTTGGAAAAAAATTCACATAGACCCAACTTATTTTGAACAATATAAAAAATGTGCAGTAATCCTATGATGTATTTATTCCCTTTGAATACCACTAAGTAAGTTACACCTTCATGGTGAAATCTAAAATGATCATTTTAGATATAAACCTTGGACCTGTTGCACTCCAAGACAGGCTCCGGCTCCTTGGCTGTATTGGATAAAGTGGTTAAAAAATAAATGGTTAAATCATTTATCAGGCACGCTGAAGAATACTTGCTGAATTTCCTTCTTTTAACACAAGATGTAGCTGTTTCTTTAAGAACAGAAATGTGTCAAGAATTTGAGCTTCATTATTAATGCACAATAATGAAAGTCTGATGTATTTCACCTCTTCTGCTGAAGTCCCACTTACTTGAAATGCTGAGTTCCATGTCAAGATGATATTAGTAAACAGTTGTTGAAGTGGAAGATTGATTTATTTCTAATATAGTCACAAATTGATTGAATTATTTTTGGGAAATTTCCCATTTTTAAATATAAAAACAATTAAGCCTCGAAGAAAGTCAATAACAACATCACTGAGGAAAGCATTTCGTTTTGTGATGGAGTATTCCTGTCTATTTTTTTACCTCAAGAGTTAATCCATATAATTTAAAGCAGTCTTTCTTCATTTTTTAAATTAACCAAACTTTGCACAACCTATACATAATATTATGATATTCCTAATAATAAATACATTTGCTGTGCTCCTAGACTAGGCTTACCAATAGCACATATAAAGTAGAACACAGAATTAAACTATGTATATACTGTACTGCTGTTTTCATGTTTCTATATGCAGTGTATACCATGCTAATGAAATACAAAATTGTGTTTACATTCGGCTTCTACTGCTCCTACTGATCTCTAATAACATTACAGATTAGTTTAATACACTCAGTCTTCAGTCTTCAGTCTTCAGTCTTCACCTCTGAGCTTGAGCTTTTGGCTGAGAAGAATGATCAAAGAGTTTATTCCTTAAATATTTTGTATCACTTTTCCCATGTTTTCTAAAAGAAAATTAATTCAGTATTTGCCAAGAGACTCATACAAAAAGTAGGTAATTCATTCAACTATATTTGTTTTCCATGGAGCCCATGACAAAGGTTTCTCACACATTGCTTAGTTATATTAGTTTTTTTTTTGCTATATATTTTGATATCAGTTTTGATTTTGGTGTAATTTGGTGTTGGTGTCAATTGTATTACATTCCCTTAATTGGTATTTTGTTTTAATAGGATTATTTCTAAATAATATTTTCTAAATAATATTTTCTCAATAATGCGATAAAAAAGATCAGATTTCAAAGTGCCTTCTGGCAGCTTTTTAACTTTTATATAGTATATATACAGTATATGAATATTATTTTTTGTTTATGGATCATTCGATAAGACCATACTGGACAAATTTCTCTCTTTGCTGAAAACAGAAATAGATGTGTGTTGCACAACGTAGCATTAAAGCTTGTACTGTTTCTGAATTTCACATTGTAGTGTGGCACTCTGCACTCCAGTCAAAAGCTTTGATGTTAATAGATTTCTACGCCATTTGCATTAAGCATTGATTGTATTGTTACAGCACAGCTGTTAGGCTTGTGTGACCCCTGTACCATCCCACAGCAGAGGACTAAAGGCTCTTTCACAGAAGTGTCCAGCAATACAGCCGCAGAATATGTGATTTTATCTTACAAACGTTCTATTCAAATCAGAGCACAAATAATTGTATTGATGTTTTTTTTTTCCTGTGAGGGATAGAATTAGTATGGTATGTATTTCTTCTTAGAATGCTAAGACATATCATCAAGTGTCTTTTAAGATCTTTAAATCTGCTACAGCATTCATATTTTACTGTTGTTAATTATTTCTTATTCTTTTTAATAAATGCTACCACACTATTATTTTTTCCCAATATTTTATTATTTGATGTTTCTACTATGCTATCACAATTACCTTCTGATGAGAGTTTTCAGATAATAAGATGTCTTATTTGCAAATGACCCAGTACACATTTATTTAATAATTAAATCATTTCTTTAAAACACGATATAGCACCTGCCTCATGCCTAAACTGCCCAGGTGTTAAATACTTCTGATTTGTCAACTATCTGACAGATCCCTCCGAAATACAGTGGATATTATGTGTGTTCATAATAATACTGACAACAACAACAACAACAACAACAACAACAACAACAATAATAATAATAATAATAATAATAATAATAATAATAATTATAATTATAATTATAATTATAATACCTTACACTTATATATATATATCCCTTTTCTGGACACTTCACTCAAAGCACTTTACAGGTAATAGGGACCCCACTCCATTACCACCAATATGCAGGATCCCCCTGGATATATGCAACGACAGCTATAGTGCGCCAGACCAATCACAATACATCAGTTATCATTGCGGAGGAGAACAGGGTGATGAAACAAATTCATAGCCAATTCATGGGGATTTATTGAAAAAAGGCCAAGGGGAAATTTGGCCGGGACATCACACCTACTCTTTTCGAGAAATGCCCTAGGATTTGAAATGACCACAGAGAGTCAGGACCTCGGTTCTTTATATTACATACAGTCACTGAATCTGTAGTGTGAAGAATCTCGTTGCTTTTTAGATTCTTTCAGTTAAATACGTAGGAGAAGCAAGACATGCAAACTACCGATTTCTGTTTTCATTGTCATTTAATAATTCTTTGTTTTCTCTTTTCTATCCATTCACTTTAAGGTGGACTGTTTGGAGGCCCAGGTCCAGAATCCAGCTCCTTTATCAGTCGTAAGATCAACAGCCAATCCTCTACAAAGCCCTTCCCAGAGAAATCCCAAGGAAACCAGTTGAACACTGGACACTGTTGAACATTACCATACAGGATTGTGCTTTTCCTACCATGTAATAGAATACAGGCGACTCTCATATGTGTTCATTCTAATTTAATCCGATGCCGGCCAGAGAAGGGTAGGCTCCCCCTTTCAAACCTTGGTTCCTCTCAAGGTTTCTTCCTACTTTAGTCCAGGGAGTTTTTCCTTGCCACTGTTGTCTTGCTTGCTCACTGGGGGTTCAGGCCCGGAAAGTACAGTACCGCCAGAGTCATTTCAGTTGGAGTACATTCTCATTTAGATGAGAAATTGTTCTATTCAAGCCACCTGGTCAGCTGTAATAAAATTCCTAACTTTGAAATATTAACTCTGGCCAGCTGCCCCCCCCCCCTACAAACAGCATAATCACTGAAACCTGCCGTATTCTTGTTAGTGCTGTATTTGTGCCGGTTTGTGCCATTGAAAGTACTGCTTGTGCTGCTTTCGTTACCAAGATATAGCGCCTTGTTTTTTCAGGTAATCATGTGACTGTCTACAAGGAAGTTTAAAGGTACCAACACACTCGGTACTTTTAATTACTTGATGTGATGAAAGCAACAGGTGCAATTTGTTTCGGTGCAATCTTCTTTCGTGAATTGCAATTGTAATTTATATTCACAACTGTAAAAATATTTTTCAAGTTCGATAAGACTTTATTGATCATGAAGGGAAATTGATGAAGCCAGAAGTTGCACTACCGTGTGTAACGATCATTATAACATTCTCGAAAAATGAAGCTTTCAAAGAGGTTTTCACTGAAAATGCAGAAAATATATCAGCCTTTAGTTCAACTCTTAACGCTGGGGTCAACTTATCAAAGATCACAATTGAAAGATCTGGTGGTCATGATCTTTCTGTATTTGCCTCATACTACAAAGGCATTACATTGAAATGCAGAACATCCACCCCACTGGACTCAAATTGTCACAATCACAAACCCCTCCTCTTAAGGATGCTCCAGCCCTTCCTCGTTTTCCTGATCTCCTGCATCTGCCACCAGTTCCTGTCCCTGTCCTATAAGAGCCAGACATTCCTGACAATCTGGGCTCAGCTCTGGAAGATGGACACCCGGAAGCCCACCTACCCATGAGTCCAGGAGGTGCTCAACAGCATAGGCTTCTCAACAGCATCCTGACCATCTGGGTCCGGGGCTGGGAGCGACTGGCCATGTTACCCCCTTTTATTCCCCCAACCCTTCACCAGATCCCGCTCCGGCTTTTAACTTTGTTAGTCTTTGTCAAGGATGGACCACCTGGCTCTGGACATTTGCCTCCCCACTGATTTCCCTACGAACACCTTTCGGACTTGTTTGCCTGGACCACGCCCCCCTGTTCGTATACCAGCCCAGTTCCTTGTCTCCTCCCCATGTCTGTTCACTCCCTTCCAGATTGTACTGTCTACATAGGGTCCTGAAAGACGCTTTGTGACACAAATTGCACAAAATGCAAGCCAGTTGTTTTCATCACATTGAGTAATTAAAATACCGACATTTAGACCTTTACCTTTAAACATCCTTGTAGATGTATGTTCGGTTATTTTATCTGAAAATTAAAATACTTTCCAATATTTCTGTGGTCTGCATGTGTGAGACAGTAGAGTTTCCAATGTTGTTATGCAGTTGAGTTATGAACTACCTGGGTCAACTAAGTGCAAAGTGCCCCCTTTAAAAAATCTTGGTTCTTTTTCACATTCACGATTTGTTCTTTTTCCATAAGAAATATATAAACACAATGGTCTTGTGATAAAGGAAGTTGCTAATCTTAACTTTTTCTAATACGTGGCTTGAAAGACAAGTCAAATCTTTAAACAGCCCTTGATTTGCATATTAATTTAAAAAGGACACAATGAGAAACTGATTGCTTCTTCACATTTTTTAAAAAGGGCACAGCTACTGTGTGAAGTATTGAGGCGAGCTAGTTAAATCCTCTTTGTAAGAACATGCAGCTGATATTGGTGACAAATGTAATTTTCCTGTTCATGTGAACGCATAGAAGATACTGGTATTATATACAAAATTAAACGCCACCCCCAAATCAGGCAAACAGAGACATAAAATTGCAGAATTGTTATCCTCACACCAGTAACAGTGCGCTTGAACTCGGCAGACGGGATCACTTCAGGCCATGTATGGTCACGTGATCACCCAAAAAGAGGGAGTTATATTTCGGGAACAAAAGCAGCACAAACACTACTTTCAAAGGCACAAACGAATGAGACCGGGTCAGTTTCCATACGTTGTTGTAGGGGGGCTGAGTGACGTCAGGACGCCGAAAAAACAAGGCGCTATATCTCGAAAACGAAAGCAGTACAAACATTATTTTCAACGGCACAACTGTAGCACTAATGAAAGAGGTGGGTTTCATAGTTTGTGCTGTTTGTAGGGGGGTCAGCGTCATGGAGCTTGAAATATTTTAAATTAGTCTAATTATATTCTAAGTAGTTTTTTTTGTTAAAAAGTTACACAAATTTGTTGAAACAGAAATGGACAAAAAAGTTCTACACAGCTTCACTGGCCTGAGCCTTGGAGCATCTTCTTGTATTGTACGGAACTGACAGATAAGGAGTGGAATTGTGTTTTAAAGAAAATCTAGCTTAATCTACAGTTAACAGGACACCAAAGGACCTACTTAAAGTAATGAGCAAACTTAATAGGAGTTCTACCATAGGGGTATTCTATAAAACTCTGGGATCACACATGGTAACTTTAAAAGTTATCTGTATGAAAACATCAGTAAAGCTTTTAATTAGGGGCATACTTCAGTAATGGGAAAATTCATTTCCCCTCCTTCAATAAGCTTAAAAACACTGGAAAACAAGAAAAAGAGGTATCAGATATTGTTTTATATAATTGCTTTTAAATGTGGTTTATTAATAATAGAGCAAGGAGGAAATATATATTTTACTTTTCTGTGAATTTTGAGTACAATCCATGGCACAGAAGATTAGGAAGCCAAGTGGGGGATCAAGTAAGATCATAGCAGGGTCAAATCTAGCCCACACATTCAAAATTAATTTCAGAAAGCCTGTCCCGCTGATCAAATGATTGAATGGTCATCAATTATTTGATTCTGATCAAATCAGTACATTGAAGAAAAGTAGGCATGGAGAAAGTATAAGTTGTAAGAGGATGAAGTGTTTGGACTGGACAATATGTGAAATGGAGTCCTGCTGAGTTCTGGGTTCAGTTTTGGGACCATTGATCCTCCTTATAACTATAAGTGATATTGATATTGATCAAGGTGCTTCCGAAATCAGATTTGCTTCCGATACAAAACTGGGGAAAAGGCCAACAACCAAGATGTAGCAATATCAACAGAGGTTGATGTGAATCTTTATCTCTTTAGTTTCAGTACAAGATGTCTGAAAGGGGATCTGATTTTGTCTGAAAGGGGACTTAAAAATCTAAAAGGGAATCACAAAGGTTGACTGAATAAATATTTCCACTTAAGTTATTTGAGTAGACAAGGATATAACTGGAAACCACTAAAAGGATAATATTGCAACAGCATTAGAAATTCCTTTTACACAAAGTAATTAATGCATTGCTAGGGCACATACTGGAGGCAGAGATGCTTTGAGGTTTCTAGTCTAGACTGGGTACTGTGATTTCTTCGGTGCAGGAAAATGACAAGCACTCATCAGCTGCATGACCTGTTCTCATCATCATCATCATCCTTTCTTCTGATCTTGTGATAATGAGATTTCGTTTATATGAAGCTTTGTTCCAGTGGCACTGACCATGTATCCCTCATAATCATAAACTTTATGTGCCAATAACCTTTGTCCTAGTTGGAAAAGGTTTGAGCTGGCCAACTATATCCTTTCAATGAAAATTCACTAATCCCACTACAATTCTGTGTGGCTTCAGATTAAAGAGTCATGCTGAAGAGCTTTTCTGCCCCAGACTCCTTATTGACATTAAATATGGCATAGTTGATGTAAGGTATGGAAGCCCCAGTAAATCACTTTTTAGTTATTTGAATCAAATTACCATTTTAGTAAGGATTATTAACTAAACCACTTAATAGTAATGAACCTTGAGGGAAGTTAACAAAGACCCTGATTTTTAATGGCATGAGTAGAAAATAACTTTTGCTAATGTATTTGAACCAAAGTTAGACAATTCTATAAATGTTTTGTCTAATTTGTATTTATGTTTGGATAAATCTTTCAAGAAAACTTGGCCTAGATTAAATAAAATTGCTAACCTACAGCTTATTCTGAAACCAATCACAACGGTTGATAGCTGCTTTCTATTGCTGCTTTCTATTTTCGTGAAGTAGTGAAAACTATGTTTGGGGTAATCTAAACAATTTAATTTTACATTTTGCAGAGCTCTGTAGGCCTGGAAAAAAGATTTACAGTACATGTATGATAAATCTGTTTTGAAATTAACTCGTGATATTCTTCAAGTACAAAAGTAAGGTTTTAATAAACAGGAATTGTATTAAGGAAAATGAACATTTTTAAACATACAATTCCTTTGGTTCAGGCAAAATTCATTTTGGCTAATGAAAGATCATGTTTTAAATAAAAAGAAAACTTATTGTTCTAGATTTGTATGGACCCTAGATGAATGCCTTATTTGCATTGAGTTCACAAGTGTATGCTAGCCCTGTTCAAAATGGATACGCCAGTTTCACAGGAAAGGAGAACTGAAAGGGTTTTTTTCACTGTTGTTTTGGTTTTATAAATAAAGTCCCGCTTCAGAAACTTACAGTTGCAGGAAATGTTTGTTGTTTTGCTAGCATAACAAAGAGAAATATAGTTCTTGAAAAAAAAATAGATAAAAAAAAACATTAAAAATAATTCCTACATGAATAATCCTTCTATTATTAGTAGACCAGAAGACATTGCAAATATAAAGAATTTCTATATATATAAAGTGTATATAAAGTATTTCCTTTTGCCATCAATTTACCTATCAGTTGCTTGTTGACAAAATTAGTCAATATCTGGCTGACACACAATAAGTCAAGTGTGGATTTAAAAG